TTCTTCACCGAAGATTAAATCCACATTTTTTCACCATATTTAGTTTGAACGGACAACGCAGAGAATAAAAACAATAAAACACATAAGTGACGCAATATTTAATAATATTTCGTAATATACGCGAACATTTAAACAGGATTATCTGCGTGCAAGGGAGGAAAACTGCTGTCCAATTGCTGGTTTGTTTATCTGAGAAAATAGGAAATATTGTTTTTAATTATTCTGAGTACAGTAAGGTTGTAGAGTTGTATACATCTTTTGATGTGGACGTCAGTCGTGGCTTGGTGGCCACACTCTTAATTCGGGAACGGAATTTTTGCTTTCAAGGCAGAATATATATATATATAAGGTGTATTTCATTTGTTCCAAAAGAGTAATTTGTTTTTTTCTTTTTTTATATAACAATAAATTAATATTCAGATGTCATTTCACAACCAAACAAGAAAGAAAAGCTCAAATCAATTATTAATGGTAAAATAAACCAATCAAGAATAGTAAAATCGAATAAAAAACAATAATCAATCATTCAAAAATAATTAATTATAGCATCAAGAATTCAAATTCTGGGCATAATATTCAGTCTTATTTAGAGTAAGAGTTCAAATTGATTGGTGTTATAAATTAGTTAGTATGCAAGTAATTATCGGCAAGAAATTAAATAGGATAAAGTTTAATTCATATTATGATTTATCATGTATTCTTTTTATCTGATATAAATTTGGATTTAATTATTATATGAAACCTTAACTATGTAACAATATAAATGCGTGTGTTTTTTTTACACTAATTTCCTTTATTTTCTACGCTTTAATTCCTGAAATCTTGTTTTCTCTGGAGACGTGTAAGATTTGAAGCCTTAGTATTATTTGATTAGATGTATTGGTCTAATATAAGAATTATTTGAGCAAGTTGTACATTAATTTTCAACCATGGACCAAACATAGATCATGATTTCTCTCTTTAATTAATCCTTGCCTTTGAATTATAGAGTATGGTATGAAGGCGTTACATGTAGCTGTCATTTTAGATACACGTATTTATGTGTTGTCGAGTTGAATTGCAGAGCATTCCAAGAGTTCTTCCAAACAAGATTAGGGAGACTGGCTTCAAAACAGTCAAAGAGACGCCAATTAAGGTCTTTTTTTAAGGCCTTTAATCACGTGGATTGTTAAAATTTATAGCTTTCAAGTAAAATTGCTACAGTGCACCTAAGTCTGCTCCCTCCTTTTATTTTGGTCCTTGAACAATTATCGCCTCGGTTATTATTATTTTATTAATTTTATTATTTTATTATATATATGTTTGCACGGTTTAAAACCTGATAATTTTTTTGGGTTCGTGTGTAATATTGTATTTACGATGTCAAAAAATATCGCACAATTAGATTAATGCTAGAGATTTGATTTTATTAATTGAAAAAACCAAACTATTAAAGATCAAATTTGACAAAGCAAAATAAACACCTTTGTTTTCCTTTTTGCTATTCATGAGATGCAAAAAATTGCAATTTACCTTTTCATTTTAGGTCCCTTTTTAGGATTTCATTTGTTCTTGAATTTTTTTTCATATAGATAAGTGAAAATGATTGAGTCATATTTTTTTTTATTTTAGAATTAAAACTTGCTTTCACGATTGTAATATAAGATTTTACTTAAAACACAATAGTTAAAATATTTTTTTTGGAATAAAAAGAAATGCATGTATAAAAAAAAAGATTTTGAATTAAAAATATATGTTTTTTCTTGTTAGTCCATATCATTATGATTTTTTAATAGGTTTTTGGAATATTATTGTTTTCTATTCAATAAACTATGTTTCTAATAAAAAAAATTATCTTATTATCAAAAATACATTACACAAATAAAAAAGATAATTTTTATGAAAAATATATGTCTCCTCCATAATGTTATTCATTTTCTTTCCTAAGGATTGAGAACATGTGTTTTTATTAGCATATAATTAAATGAAAATTAATTCCAAAAAATAAAATTATTAAAATTATTTAAGTTTATAATTAAGATTATAGGTCAGAAAAAATAACCTAACTTTACCTGAGTCAATTCAAAATATTATTATTTTAATATTAAAATAATATCGTTGATTTTTTTAAATAATCATACAAGATTTCATTTATCTATCTTGTCACATGAAATCAACTCCTAATCAATTTATCCTTATACTTAGTTTATGTTAGATCTAAAAATTTAATAACATTATCATAAAATCTCAGTTGCATTACATGCAATCATAGTAATTACGAGAATATTTGAAAATATGGTATAAATTGTGTTTTTAAAAAATTTATTTTTTATTAAAAAATAATTTTTTATATATTTTAAATTATCTTAATATTCTAATTTCAAAATTATTTTTTTAAAATATTATTTTAATATATTTTAATATAAAAATTATTTTAAAAAATAACCTCCAATACACTATAACCCGCTATATCATAACTTCACTTGCTAATATAAGTGGAGTGATGATGATAACATCAGCGGCGAAGATAGGCGGCTGCAAGGGGCTCCGACTGCCGCAAGAATTTATTATTGTTAAAATGACGTCGCCTTGAGCAATTTTAAGTTTTGACCCTAAAAATAGTAAAATCTAAATTTTTCCCTCCTAAATTTGATTTCCCTAATCTGGGCCCTGGATATCATGATCGAACAACATTTAGTTTAAAACTAGCAAATACAAAGGAAAGTTGTCGAAGCATCAAAATTATCAAAATAATAATAATATTAATAATAATAATAATTAAAAATCACAACTAAAGAATTGTGAAATAATGTTTTTGTTAAATGTTTTAAAAACTTGTTGATTTTATTTGTTAAATCTTTATCAAAATTATGTAATTTTGATATTTTTGTAAAATAAAAAATTAGATTGTTCAATTTACTTGACTTATAACCCAATAACTACTTGGGATAAATCCCTATATCATGTTTAAAAATGATTTTAAAAAAATGACTCAATTTTTTCATTAAATTCTTTATAAATTTTTCTTAAGCTCGTTGAATTTATTTTGTTAAATTTTATTGAATTTTATTGAATTTTTTAAAAAAATTTAACCTAAAATAATATCATATTTACATATTTATAAAATAAAAAAATAATTGCTTGCATAATCCTAGTCAACCCACCCGACTTATAACTCAAGACTTGCTCAGGGATCGACCTCCAGGCAAGTTTTAAAATTTATGATTAAAAAATAAGGACACAACCTCTTTGTGAATTTTTTGAAAAACCATTGGATAATTTTTTTAAGTTAAAAGTGTGGTTGGAAATGTGATCATAGTTGCTTTTCAAAGTGTTTTTTCTTAGAAATATATCAAAAAATAATTTTTTAAATTAATTTTGATATTAACGGATCAAAATGATTTAAAAACACAAAAAATATTAATTTGAAGTAAAGAAAAAAATTTAATTTTTTTTAAAAATGCTTTTAAAATGCAAAAAAATAAACAGAGCTTTGGGTATCTTTGGCCAACTCACTCGATTTGTGACCCAGGATTTGCTCGGGATGGACCCTTGGGCCGGGTTTTTAAACAATGATAAAAAAATAAGGATAAAAGTTAATATGAAAATCAAATAAAATTAAACAATGAGGAGAAGATAAATGAAATAGAAATAAATTATAATGAAAAGAATTTGGATATTAAAAAAAACAAACATTTGATACGTAAATTGAAAAAAAAATTAATTAAAAGAAGGGAGAAAAAAATAGGAATATAGAAAAAAACTAAATTTGATATAAATATAAAGAACAAAGAATAAAATTAAAACAAATATAGAAAGAATTTAAAATAAATATAGAAAAAAAAAGAGTCGGGATGGTGTTCTCAAGCATGACTCCTGGCATGGAATGTACTAGTTATATGACCCGTGCGATGCCGCTGGTTAAATTTTTTATATAAGAAAACAAAATAAAAAAACTAAGATTTAAAAGTATTAGATTTTTAAGTAAGACTATATCCAAGAGTCTTGAGTTTAATTGTAATACCTGATTTAAAAATAATATTAATGATATTAATAATAATATTAAACTTGTGTGACATAAGTTTAAGTGAGTTTAACTACAACACCAAATCCAATAGCTTTGGACGTAAGTCTGGCTGAAAAATCAGAATTAACTGGGGTTAACCCTTCAAATCAGGTTAACCCATCAAACCTGAAATTTATGTCATGAAAGTTTGATAACTAAATAGAAAAAAATTGATAGGTTAACTGAGTTAAACCGTCAAGCCCAAGATACGTATCATAAAAATCTGATAATTAAATAGAAAAAAATTTAACATTAACAAACTAAACTAAACAAAAAAATTAATAAAAAAAAATTGGGTTAACTCGCCATATTAGGTTAACTCGTCAAGAAATTTAATATTAACAAATTAAATTAAAAAAACAGAAAAAAAAAGCAAAAAAAAAAAGAAGAAGATAGCTCAAAGTATTTAATATATGTTGTTGTTGTTGTTATTATTATTATTATTATTATTATTATATATAAGTATATGCGTGGGGAAAGCTACAGTGCTTTCCCCACGCGTTTTAGTATATTGTTAATAAAATCACTAGCGTTGAAGACAATTTGGGTACGTTAATCTAGACAGAGATAAAATGAGAATAAAATTAGAAAAGTTAAAAAAAAGGCACTTTCAACAACCATATCTTGATAAGGCATAAAACCTAAAGCCATTTTTACACCACTTTGCACCTCGACGCAGCTTCCACATCACATTTCTATCCTTTGACCTCCTCCCCATATTTTAATCCCTTGTTTTCTCCCTCTTTTTTACCACACACTGTCTCATTGAGATGCGAAGCCCCCAGTTCACCGTTAATTATGCACATAATACAAGTCCTTTCTGGATTTAAGAACAAGTTGCTGGCAAAGAAGAAAAGCTTCAAGAAACGAAGGATTCGGCAGCCCTTTTCGAAAAGAATGTTTTTTCTATCGAGACAGCGGTGGTGGGATGACGCCAAGCTTTAATAAAGAAACGATGGATTGGAGGAAGAAAAACGGTAAAGGGGAGAAGATGCTGCTCATTAAAAATGAAGAAAGATCGATCAGATCACCTTATCCATATATTCTTTACACGACATGGAGGGGCCTGGAGACGTTGATAGAAGCATCAGCATCCAAAAGGGAGTATGCAGCAGCAGCCTTCTTATTGATATGAAGCCAGGAATTTGCACTCCAATTTATGATAACTCCATGAAATTATCACATTTTTCTCTTATGAATGCAGCTCTCTGTTTGCGCGCTTTACAATAACGAAACACGCTAAGGGAGTGTTTGGCATTGTGGAACTTTATTATTGTTTTTTATTATTCTAATAATTGATATCAAAAATAAAAATATATATATTATTTTAATGTATTTCAAGTAACAAATATTTTAAAAAATTATTTATACCGCTGTCTACCCCTATGATATATATTACTGGCTACTATTAATCGCTGTCTCGTTCAATAAAAATACAGACAATATCATAATCATATATAAAGTAGATGACTGAAATTAAATTCCTAAGTGGGACCCCTATATATCTTTTGATATGTCCTTAATTTTGATTGCCGGTCACAAAATCAGCAACGACAAACTATCCTAGACTAAATTCTATCTCAGGAAAAACTTGTCTGTTTTTTAACTTATCCTAACAAAAATGAGCAATGATCCCTATATTTTTTAAAAATAAAAAATTATCAAAAAAACATAAAAATATTATGAGTTGCTGATTTTTAAGGGAATTTTTGAAAAATAAAAAGGAAAGTAATTTTAAAAAATTATATAATAATCTAAAAATAAAAATAACATATATATATTTTATTCTCATTGAATTTACATGAGCAACTTTTTTAATAAAAATTACGTATATTTTTTTTTTATTCGAGGAAACCCCATTCCCCAAAAAACGTATTTTATGGGCTCAAGTAAGTGAGTAAAACCTCGTATATCCCAGGCTCTTATAAGAGATGCATGTCCTGATTAGAACTCAAGATCTATTATACAGATCTTAAATCTTTTGCTACGACGCCACGCTCCTTAGAATATGTATATTATATTCATATATAATTATTCAGTAATTATTAATATTACTAGAAAAGCTCTAATATTATCTAAAAACCATTGTATAATCAAATAATTTCTTAAATACCATTTTAATATTTTTATAATAACATATTTTTTTTTAATTTTGAAACGAAAACAAATTTCTTTTTAAAAAAATTGAGGGGCACTAAAACATATCAGCTATATATAAGTCCAAAAGACCAAATTCGAGCAATTATTTATTTATTTTTTCATCCAAAAACATAATAAGAATCTCAATAATCCTATTTTCAACACCAAAACACCCCTAACTCAATTTGAAAACCAAAATTCATACTAAATAAACAAAAACTTACCCCTAACTCAATTTGAAAATCAAAATTCATACTAAATAAACAAAAACTTTTATGAGTCTCAATTTGTTTTTTTCAGACATGATTAAAGGAAAGATCAACTTTTATCTCCAAAACGAACCTATGACTACCAAAATCAGCTTTTTTTATGGTTGGAAAGTGTTCAATTAAAGACGCTCTTTCCTTTTCTTTTTCTGTTAACTTTTTCCACCTCTCTTAACGTTCAAGCACTTAAACATAATAGATATAAAGTTTAAGAATGAAACATAAATAACTCAAACTATATAAATCAAATATGGAAAATTCAAAAAATTGAGGGACCAAATTATAGTTTTACACATTTAAAAGTAATTAAATTAAATTATGAATGAATTCGAGCAATTCACAATACATATGTTACCTCTTTTATTTTTATTTTTTAAAAAATTAATATATACTATTATGTTCTCTGACATGAGTGTTTTGGCTACATTACATGCACTAATTAAGGGGTTTTTTTCAATGATGAATAGGGTTTTATTTGATTAATTAGGACTAAAGTAAAGTTCTTAAGCTAGTAGTAAGTGAGTGGATTGTATAAGTGCATGTATTCGATTTATTTCTAAAATTATTTAAGCGATTTAATAGATTTATTATTTATTAATTTATTTTTGGTTTGAGATAAATCCAAGTCATATATTAAACAAATTAACAATGGACATCAACCAGCCCAAGTTTTTAATTTTCATCCAGAAACAACTATCATATCTTTATTAAAAAAAAAAACATGACAAACAACTAGAATAAATAATCAAACACAACCACATATATATATATATATATATATATATATATTTGTTAAGGACAAATCTCATGATTGTAGTGATTAGATATTCCCATGATTATAGTGATGAGATACTTTATTATAGCCTAGAATAATTCATAACACTATATATATGCATGTACTCTTTACTTTTGAATATACAAGAAACATTCAGAATACTCTCATTTCTTTTCTTTACCATACCTTTCTCTCTTTATATTTTATCATAGAAAAATAATGTAGCATAATATCTAGATTTATATTACACGAATAATATTACTATTTTTTTATCTTTGAAAAGTCAATTAATAGCAAATTATTATTTTTTTGGGGAGAAAAGGATTGAACAAGAATGAGAAAATAGCTTTATTGATATATGATATATGTTCATAAAGTTTATGTATTGTTATGTGATGGCATGTGACTTGCCCGCTGCTTTCGAAACAACGTTGCTGCGAAGGTAAAGCTTATGGTAGTGACCACAGCCTCCGATGAACAAAACGCCGTGTTAGTTAGCTGACCCAATGGCCGGATTTTGAAGTGCTTTTAAGATGCACATCACATGGAAGGAGAATCTGCTTTAATAAAAACAGGCAATGTTTGGAAATTAGGAGAGAATAGGATAATAGTTGTTTTTTAAAATATTTTTTATTTTTAAAAAATTATTTTTATCAAAATAATTTAAAAATATTAATTTAAAATAATAAAAAATCAAATTGTTTTCAAAAATTTTTTTGTCGAGATGTTACGTGGGCCCGGATTCCAATTGTCTACTTCCACGTTGCTCCCACATCCACGTGCTTCTGTCCTTGAATGGAATTAGGATATATTTAGTTTATGAATTCTTTTTTATTTTCGCAAGAAATGCATTGCAATAAATAAATAAATAAATTATATAGCCAAAGATAGACGACGACGACAACAACAGCATAGTTTTTAAACCCGACCTAGTGGTCGGCCCGGTCCAAGGCCCAGGTTCTGGATTTTGACCGGGTCACCGGGTTTTGGCCGGGTCGGCCGGGTCAATCTTTATTTTTTAAAAGAATTAAAACGACGTCGTTTTAGTAAAAAAAAATAAAAGTCAACGGGTTGTAACCGGGTTTTGTCGGGTTGTCCGGGTTTTCGGGTCAACCCTTCCGGGTCGTCCGGGTCACACCGTGTCATGACTTACCTTATTTTTTCATCAACCCGGCCCGGTTCCATCCCCGGGTCGGCCGGGTCCCGGGTTAACCCGCCGGGCCGGGCCGGGTTTTAAAACTATGAACAACATATTCAAGGCAATATTATCAACACAAAAGCAGACGACAACAACAGATTCAAGGCAATATTATCAACACAAAAGCAGCCAAGTCTCTTATAATCCCAGCAAATCTTGTTTCTGAGTGATAATGGTTTCAGCACCAAACATGCTCAGACCAGCTGCAACAGGTCTACAAGAATGTATTTTCATGAACACAGTCGCAACGAAGTGTATCCAATATACCAGAAAAAAGGCAAGACATCAAGAAATCCCATATAAATCCGAAGAACAGTAGTCTAGTTTGTATAGAGTACTGAAACAATGCAAAGCAGAACACCGTAGTATACTGGAAATGAAAAGGCGTACGAGGAGAAAATGAAAAAAAAAAAACAATTATTTTTACTTTTTTTTTGCACATATTTATAACTCTGATCAGTCCTGGTATTCTAATTTTTTCTGGTTTGCAAGATGGCAAGAAAAAAAAAAAAAGTTGAGAGGTCCGCACCTGTAAATTCTTGGCAATAACCAGAACCTGCTACGGCTACAAATGTACTAGAAAGCAAGAGTAACCTTAAAAGAAAAGCCTTGGCAATCAATGCAAAGTCACCTAAAAATATTTCCAGATTTTCAATTTGTGTTTGTATTTTTAAAAATGATTTCTGAAAAATTAGTTTTTAAATTTTTTTTATGCTTGTTTGTCAATAAAAAAATAGATCAATAAAAAAAAATTTCTAATTAATGAAAAATTTGGCTTAATTTCTAAGAGAGTATTTTTTTTTTATTTTAGATGGAAAATACTTTTAAAAAGTTGTGAAAAATCTAAAAATATTATCTTATTTGTTGATTATATCAAATTTAGTTATTAAACTTTTGATGGATATATATTTTTTGTTTTGAATATCTATTTTTTAATTTTTTCCATAGAATTTAATTTTTAAATTAACTTTAGTCCTCATTTTTATAATTATTATTTGCTTTTTCATTATTATTTTTTAATTAAATTTTTTTATCTATCAAATTTAGTTCTCATTCTTTTGATTGTTATTTATTTTATTTGAAATAATTTATGAAATGTTAATTATTATTATTTTAATTTTTTCATCTTCTAATTTTTTATTTTTTAGATTTGATCTCTATTATTTTGATTATTATTTATTTTATTTGAGATAATTTATGAAATTATACTTTTTTCAATTTCATTCTCAATCAACTTTTTAATTTGTAAGATTTATTTCTCATTATTTTAATAAACTTAAAAAAAATAAAACATTAATAAGTTATTTTCCTACTCATTTTCAATGATATAACCAAATATTAAAAAGTATTTTTCAACTTATTTTTTATTATACTACCAAACATTAAAAATAATTACTATTTTTCATTTTTTATCTTTTTGTCAATTCGTTTTGGTCCATCAAAAGAAATTAAAATCTCCTCTCATCTTTCCATTTCTTCTTCTTTCAATTAAATTTACAGAAACCATTAGCCCTCTTATATATCTAGGCACCGAACCCACCAGCATCGACACCACCTCTCTCAAGAAACATTAGTTTCCCTCACTTGGTTTCATTTCTTATCATGTTAATTTTACCCCACCAAGTAAGCAACCCCACCCATTTATATTTTAAGTTAAAATTTGTTTGTAGTATTTATAATTTTCTTGTATATTTAAATGTTTTGCTTGTTTTATAATAATAATTTTGTAATATTAATATATAATTTGTATTTTAGGGTTTGTTTTGGATTTAGAGTACATGGATCTAATTTGTCACTTGATGAAATTGAGTGTGATTTTGTAACTTATATGTGTTATAAATGAAGAAATGATGGGTAATTTAATGGGTATCATTTATTTTGTGTAAAATCTATGGTTAAGTTGGAAATTTGGAGGAAAGCAATTTTATGTGGAATTGATAATAATTAAAGATATTAATTTAGGTTGAATAAATTTGAACAATTGAAGAAATGATAGATAATTAGTTGGTCCTAAAAAACTTTAGTCAATTATAGGTTTTATTGAGAATTTAGTAAAATTAAATAAAAGTGTAATTGATGATAATTAATGTATTAATTGATGTTATTATTTATTACTGATAATATGGTATGAAGATTTATGATATTTATGATAAAGATAGTAATGATAATAGTAGTAATTACAACGATAGCATTTATAGTGGTAATTATAATTGTAATAATATCAGTAGTGGTGGTAATGATTGTTATGATAATGGTGATATTAATAGTGGTTATAAAGTGGCAACTAGTGGTGATGGCGGTCGGGGTGATGATAATAACTAGTTATAGCGGATATAAGGTAGTGATTATTATTTTAATGGTGGAGGTGTAGAAAAGTTATAATGAGATGATTATAAAATAATATTTATATTAATAAAAAGATAGCATAGTTTGCTTGACAATAGTGCGGTGGTGTTAATGATAGTGGAGTTATGGTGATTGTTATTATGATAATGATATTGTTACTACTAGTGATATTTAAAGTAGTTAAGTGATAATATAATGTGAGTTAATAGATTAATCCTGATTCATTTCTAATAAATAATTGAATTTATATTTGATAACATGTTTTAATTTTTGAAATTTTTTTAGTGTTTCTTTTGAAGTATCATTTATTTAAGAAAAAACAAGTTCAAGTTTAATAAGAACACTACTGCTTTATCAAGAAGTAGTGTTGTTCATCATGTTGTGAATCTAGGAGATGATTATAAAGAAACACTTAATGTATAAGATATTGAACAAGACTCAACCATTGAGAATAACAAATTAGATGATTATAAAGAAACACTTAATGTATAAGATATTGAACAAGACTCAACCATTGAGAATAACAAATTAGATGATTATAAAGAAACACTTAATGTATAAGATATTGAACAAGACTCAACCATTGAGAATAACAAATTAGATGATTATAAAGAAACACTTAATGTATAAGATATTGAACAAGACTCAACCATTGAGAATAACAAATTAGGTGTCCTGGTTTTGATAGAGTTCATTTTAGGCAAATAGATAACATAATGGAAGGACAATCTCTCTATGTGATTTTTTTTGTTTTGTGACGTTATTTATTTTATTTAGTTATTTTAATTTTTACAATTATATGAAAATAAATTTCTTAAATTGATTTTTAAGTTTGCTAATATTGAAGTTAAATTTCTTAAATTAATTTTTAAGTTTACTAATATTGAAGCTGCTTGTTTTATCACTTTTGCAATGAAGTGGTCATTTGAATAACTATTGTTTCAATGGAGTCAATTTCATGACTATTATGAATGAATATATACGATAGATACTTTGTGATAAAATGTTAAGGTTAGATAAATAATTTTTAATTTGAGTTACTAGTTTTTAAATTCTCAAAACTAATTCTTGAATTTAATTAATCAAGGAAATTTTTTGATGTCACGCATTTGTCAAAAGTGTAAGAAAATCATTGTGCTATTAGATAGGTCTAAATCAATTAATGTCACATTGTTGTAAAATTTTATTTTTTTATTTTCTTATCTAATTTTTATTTAATAAATTCATATACTAGATTGTGTGATTTTTCATACTATATCCATGAACAAGTAATTAGAAAGGTCAATTTAGGTGATATATAGAGTTGAAAAGGATATATATTGAGGCATGTAATAGAATGTAATTGGACATTACATCCATAATTTATAGTTTAAGAAAAAATTACAAGGCATTCAATATCCAATTCACAAAATAAAAGAAAAAAATTTCATGGTTCAATGAGCACGCACACTAGAAGAGATATTTGATTTAACTACAATGCAAAATGCTTAATAAAAGCTTATTGTTATATATTTCATTATTTTTCTTGAAGTTTTAATTATGTGTTTATTAATGAGATTTTTAACAAACTATTTAATTTGTCAAAAAAATAGCTTAAGTGAGAACCAACTCAAATTGAGTTATACAAGGAAACTAATATAAAGAAAGGGATATTTGAAAACGAGAAAAATGTGTTAATCCAGGAACAAAATTTTAGTTCTAAGTATTTTGATAGCAAATAAACAATTAAGATTGTTTATTTGCATCAACAATATAAAATGTAATTAAATTTAGAAATTTGACTTTTTTTATTTTACCAACACCAATATGTTTGCAAAAGTTAGTAATGACATTTCCACTCATCCTCTTTATAATTCTCAAATATAATTGGAAGCTATTATCAATTATGAACTT